CATCTAGCTACTGTTGCTCTCTATGGGCTTTTATACTGTCTGTTTAAGTGACAGTGATGCAGTGTTGCCAGATATTGCTACAAAAAACAAAAAAACGAGCCCAAAAATAAACCAAAACAAGTTCAAATCTTGTGGTTTAGAAATAAGATATTTCTCAAGCAGCTTTCTGTGCACACGATCTGAGACGGAACACAATACGATGAGTATTGGCTACTTTGGGATTCGGCTGTGCGCTTAAATGGACAAATGCACACAAAAATATGTCAAAATCTCAAAAATTTATGAGTTTTCACTTAAACACAGTCAGTCTTGTCTTAAGTGAAGATAAACAGTTGGGTATGTAATCAGTAGTTAAATGCTTGTCAGTATATTAGATTTGTGCATTCGGTCTTAAAGGAATAGTTCACCCAAAAATGTAAATGTGATGTTTATCTGCTTACCCGCAGGGCATCTGAGATGTAGGTGACTTTGTTTCTTCAGTAGAACACATTTGATGATTTGTAACTTTAACCGTTGCAGTCTGTCCGTCGTATAATGCATGGCAATGGTAACAAAATCTATGAGAGTAAAAAAACACGCACAGACAAATCCAAATTAAACCCTGCGGCTCGTGACGACACATTGATGTCCTAACACACGAAACGATCGGTTTGTGCCAGAAACCCAACAGTATTTATATCATATTTGACCTCTAATACACCACTATGTCCAACTGTCTTCAGCGCGCGCACGGCATCCGGTGCGTGAGGTGTTGGAATTGATCTCGTTTAAAGGATTTTTAGATACTAGCAAGACACGAGGAACATGATTTTTGGCGTGTGATGTTTTTTGCTGTACATTAGTGCTTCTGATGGATCAGTGTGATGACAGGATCATAATTATTATTATTCCAGGTATTATTATCCCCTGACTAAAGGTCTGTCAGATCACACAGAGTTTATTGGAGTCCGATCGCTCACGTAACCTGCTCTTTTACCAATCGCATGAATTCTAATTCATGTTTGTTTGATTATTTATTTTGTTGTTTATTTTTATTTTTATTTAGTGTTTCATTTATTTTTTTTAACTTTCCTTTTCATTCATTTTTTTTATTTTGCATTTCTTTTTACATTTTTATACTTTATTTGAATTTTTTTCTATTTTTTGTTTAATCATGTTTGATTAAATTTTTTTCTTTTCATATGTATTTTATTTATTTTCATATTTTCCTATAATTTATTCATTCATTTCAAATTGTATTATTTATTTATTTTATTCACATTTTTATATTTAGTCTTACATAATTTTTTATTTATTGTTTTTTCATTTTAATTTAATTTTTGTCCATTTATTAATTTATTTTCATATTTTGCTGAATTGAATATTTCGCTGATCTGGTTTGTTCAGGTGCAGTGTGTGTTTTCTCAGAATCTGCTTTGTTTGAAGTGTCTGTCGTCAGAAGAAACGTGGCATTTGAGAGTGTGACGAGTCTTTGAATTCATTAATTTCCCGTCTGTGGGGAAACTTTATCTGGAATATGATTTCTTTCGGAAGCGCAGCAGTTCAGTGAAGAAGTGACCTCCACGAGGGCTTTAATTCAGGCGTATTAAAGAGAGCACTCGTCCTCTAATCGCTCTGTGATGAAGACGGCCTGAAATAAAGCCCAATGCTGCGGCACAATCTTCTGATTATTCACAATCACTCCAACACACTCGCCGTTACCGTCGCTACTGCAGTATATGAGCACAGTCCAGGTTCGTTTGTTTGTTTCTTCATTCATTCATTCAAAAATGTAAATATATTTTTATATTTACAAAGTGTAATTTATTTTTATATTTATAAAAAGAAAAATATTTATTTGTCTCTTTATATTTATTTATTATTATCAAAGATATCACTATATTGAATATAATAATATAATATTACTAAATATTAATAAAATATAATAATATAACATTAAATTTAAATAATAATACTAATTTTAAATTTATTGATGACAAATAATATAAACCTGGTTATTGTTTTTTTTAAACACATTCCGTTTTTTAGTACTGTTACAGAAATCTGATCTGTTTATTTATGTGTGACTGAGAAATATGCGGCACATTCAGTTTATTAGTTTGTTTATTTTAAGACAAATGCATGGAAGTTTTACATGCAATTCAAATAAAATGAGAGTGATGAAGGAGAGATGAGAGAGTGATGGAGGAGAGATGAGAGAGTGATGGAGGAGAGAGTGATGAAGGAGAGATGAGAGAGTGATGGAGGAGAGAGAGGAGAGAGTGATGGAGGAGAGATGAGAGGGTGACGGAGGAGAGAGTGATGAAAGAGAGAAGAGAGAGTGTTACAGTATGTGATGTTTGCAGAAAATCTCATGTAAAAATCCTGATCTGAGTTTGGTGAGAGTCGCTGTGAACCCAGTGACTGAAGTTGTGAACACAAACTCAACACTCACACACACACACACACACACACACACACACACACACACACACACACACACACACACACACTCTCTCTCCTTCCTCTCTGGAGCTCTCCAGAGCTGATTAAACACAGTGTTTGCATGATCTGCTCGTTTGAGAGTTGCGTTCATCCTGCGCTCGTCAGATCAAAATTTAATGTCAGTCCCAAAAACTGTTTACTCTGATTAAAATGCGAGATCCTGCTGCTGAGAGTCTGAAGCCTGTATTTATAATGCATCATAAGTGCCTCTGAATTCATCATCAAACTCTTCATAAAGTATTATCATGCGCGTTATGATGCGTTACAGCGAGAGCACAGGAGAACAGATCAGATCCTCAGGTAGCTAATCACTGTATATTAGGACCACTGTTTTGTATTG